ATATATATATATATATATATATATATATATTGAATTAATGTAAAGATATGAATCAATGTGAACCGTTCACACACTGTGAAACCATTTTCTCTTCCTATATATATATGCAAAGTGAAATAACCCTAAAAAACCATACCCTTTTTTTTTAAAGCTATTTTCACAAAATAATAAAAATAATAAATATAAATAAACAAGAAATGGCAGAATTAAGAGAAAAATGGAGTCTTGAAGGCACCACTGCACTTGTTACTGGTGGCTCCAAAGGCATAGGGTGAGTTTTAATATTTCCCTCAAGTTTATTGATGATTTCTAACTAATTTGTTGCTAAAATCCTTCAAATTAATTGAATTTTCATATAATTTGTTTGTCGCTAATTATTTTATATTATTTTTTCATATGTAGATTGTGTATTGAGGTAGAAGATATCTGGCAAAGGTTTAGGCTTGTTAGTGTTTGTTGTAGTACTGGTCGTATCCTTATAGTACTTTTTGTCATACGTTGTTTATTATGTTTTCGATCATCCCACTGTTTTATTCTTATTGTTGTTTATTTCTTATCAATGGCTATACTTTCTTCATCATTTTCTTATGTTTTTACTTGGGCTCGATACACTTGAGCCTATGATTTTTTAAAAACCCGTTTCTTTAGCTCCACTAGGTAAATGGTATGATATGTGTACACTCTATTTCAGGGGCGGAGCTACCTTGTAAGAAGGGGGTTCATCCGAACTCATTTCGGTGGGGAAAATTATATTATTTATACATGGTTAAAATAATTATATATGTATATATATATATAGTAGATGCCGAAAACCCCCCTTCGGCTATTTCATGTGTCTATTCTACTGATTTTGAACCTCCTTATTGAAAATTCTGACTCCGCCTCTGCTCTATCCTCTCCAGACCCTACTTAATGAAATTTCACTAAATATGTTGTTATTGTTCACCGTATGCTAATTCACAATAAAAACATAATATGTTTTTTAATTTTCTTTTGTTATTTGATTTATCATCCATCACCTTTTTAATTGTTTTTAGGTATGCTATAGTGGAAGAATTGGCAAATTTTGGAGCAAGAGTATATACATGTTCACGTAATGAAAATGAACTTCAAAAATGCCTTGATATTTGGAGAAAAAAAGGACTTAAAGTTGAAGGTTCTGTTTGTGACTTATTATCTCATACTGAACGTGAAAAACTTATGAAGAATATCGAAGATGTATTTGATGGAAAGCTTAATATTTTGGTTAGACTAATTATTTTCGCGATTTTAAAATAATTTGATAGTATAAATTATGTTATTAATACGTAATACAATGTATATTATGATGTATAACTTTTTATTTTATTTTATTTTAGGTGAATAATGCAGGGGTGGTGATATATAAAGAAGCTAAAGATTTCACAAAAGAAGATTATAATATAATTATGGGAACTAATTTTGAAGCTGGTTATCATTTATCTCAAATTGCTTATCCATTATTGAAGTCTTCACAAAATGGAAATATTATTTTTGTTTCTTCTATTGCTGGATTTTCAGCGTTACCCTCTCTTTCTCTTTATTCCGCTTCTAAAGGTAAATCTTTACGCGATATATTCAGAATTTTAAAATTAACTTTCATGTTGGTGAATCAAACGTTATTTTGTTTTATATGATTTTAGTTAACGTTAAACTTTTTATGTACATGTGTTATTATGATTTAGACCTATAAAAATTCATTATTTAACGTGAATGAATTTTTTATTTATTTTTTTGTAATTTGAATATGTTTTATCTTATTAAGAATATTGTTTAAGATGATAAGTTGTCTATGATATTATATCATGATTTTTTTATTTTATGTTACTTCTTTCTCTACACTATTCTGGATTTTTTTTTCTTGAGTGAGGATCTATAAAAAAACGATCTCTTTATTTTATGTTATTTTATGATTTTATATTTTATTTTTTTCAAATCTCATACACTAAATATGTTATTGTTGAATTTGCCGTCCTGTTTTTATTTATTTTTTCATATTTGGTGGCAACCATTTTTTTTTAATCTTATATTATTAAAAATAATTATATAGGTGCAATAAATCAAATGACAAAGAACTTGGCATGTGAATGGGCCAAGGACAATATTAGGGTCAATTCAGTTGCTCCAGCAGTCATTTTAACCCCACTTATTGAAACAGCAATTAAGGTATATATAATAGTAATTATTTTTTATGACATTTTAGGTTTTTTAATCTATCAATTTTCTACCAATAATGCTATTTATTTACCTTTTGAAAAAGTTTTGTTGAATATCTCAAAAGTAAAAAAAGAATTTATCTTCTCACTTCATAAATAAGTGTACTTATTCATGAGAATTGAATCGCAATACGAAACGAGTTCATTCCTTTTAAAGTGAGATATAACGTGAGAATTGATCTAAAGTCAGAATTTTGACATTTCTTAAGCGGACGATATATTAAATATATTTACCATCATAAAATATCTTTTAATCTCTTCCTAATAGTTCCTACCCTTTTTTCCTTCTTACTGACTCAAACTCACGATCTTATGATTAAAAGCAGAAAAAGGTTATTATCCAAATTAAAATAAAAGATTATATAATCGACTCCAAAGTCAAATATGAGTGAAGCGAATTAGTTATTATATCGTACCAAAAATAAAAAAATTATGTGTTCATATATCTATTCATAGCATAAACATGTCAAGAAAACAATTTATTTATTTTAATATTATTATTTTTTATTGCAGAAAAATCCTCAACAAAAAGAAGAAATTGATAGTTTTGTTGTCAAGACTCCTTTGGGCCGGGCCGGAAAGCCCGAAGAAGTCTCAGCAGTAGTAGCTTTTCTTTGCTTCCCAGCTGCTTCTTATATTACGGGCCAAATTATATGGGCCGATGGTGGATTTACAGCTAATGGTGGGTTTTAACTTTGGGCTTTGTAATCTATTGGGCCTATCATCGGCCCAATATTCTTTAAACAATTTCTATGTCCATGTGCTTGTGTTCTTCAACTACGCACTTCCATTTTCATGTGTTTGTTATTTGGGTAACTTATCGAAATTTCGTAAGTTTACGAGGTAATTGTTTAGATACACGCTAATTTTTTTTATATTATGAATGTTATCAGATTTTGGTACGTTCACATACACGTATTTCGTGATACACAGGGGTAAAAATAATTGTATTTTGTGTTTAGATATATCCAAGTGGATTTACATCTATCTGGGGTACATAGACTAATTTTTCACTCGCCTCCCTCCCATTTCGCACATCACTTTCATATGTATATTGTATCCAAGTACATATGAATCACGTCATTTACATACAGATATCTAATGTAATTAGCATGTATATGAGATACATATACAAATCTCACTTGCCACTCTTGTATTAGTTGTTATCTCATGTACATGTGAATAATGTCAAATAACAAATTATTCTTTTATTCACAACCACGAAGAAGGATTATATAGACTATTATAGATAAAAAACTGAGCATGAAATCAAAAGGACAATATTTAAATGGAGAAAGAAACGACGTTAAAATGTATATTGTAAGGCTCATGTTGGGGGGAAAAAGAAGGCAATAATGCTTTTAACTTTTGTGAATTAAGAAAATATAAATTCTCAATATCATTAAAGTTTATATAACATATTTATTTCATATGCTTATGCTAGAGTCTAATCGACTAAATAACTTGTACAAATCGAAATAGGTTGAGCAAATCATAATTTAATAGTCTGATTTTATTTTCTCTTCTAATTATATGATATATATAATATACATCTAACAAAGTGACCCCAAATATTTAAAAATAATTTGTGTATTTTCTATCTTTTCACAGTCTATTTATTGAAATTTTATTGAGTATATATTAGTAGTATAATTTAATAGTGTATTTCAAAGGTATATATGTGATTACGTGAACATAATAAATATTGCATCATTTTAAATATATACATGTGGGCACATTTAAAATGCAATTTTAAAATTTGTAGAGGGTAACATATTCAATTGAAATATATTAATCTGAAAAAAAATTAAAAATCAATTATTTTTATATAATATTAAGCTAAAGCACATGTTTATTATTTAATATATTTTCAAAAAATAACATGTATCTTAAATATTTAATTTAATATCATCTATAAAGTTTTTTATTTGTCTAGTATAAAATTTAAATAATTAACTTTATTTTTAAAATTTAATATAATCTTATGAATGTCTAATTACAGTGTAACTACAATGTAACAAACAAACAATAGTAATTACTATTCGAAAATTACTATTCGAGTAATTACATCAATTCCAATTATTCCACGACTTTTCAATCAAATCTTAAATAATATGTGAAAAAATTACAATAATAAAAAAGGGTTTATGTCTCAAAATTCTAATCGCAACAACAAGGGAACCATACGTACTATAAATTTAAACTAATAAAGTTTATTATAAATATCAAATATTTAAAAAATAATACTATAAATTCCTAGAAACTTCCTTTTTTTTTTTTATAGGAGCCATAAGTCAAATAACGATGACTTTGGCTTGTGCTTGGGCCAAGGACAAAATTCTAAATTCAACTCCAACTCATTGAAGAAGCAATTCTAAATTTCGATAAAATTCTTAATAAATAATTTTTTTTTTGAAAAAAATTTGAATTTGTCCTGTTTTCATATGAATATTAGGAAAAAGACATAGTTTACTATTATAATAAATTTAATTATATTTCATAGATAAAGTTTGCATATTTATGGGTTGTAGCCTCGTTTCTATAATACGTGGATTAGTATAATTTACGGGTACATTTTGTATAATTTAATTATTTTTATATAAATTTGAAATAACGAATCGATACAATTACAAATATATGAAGTGTAAATAATTATACAAATTATATTATGCAAAACTATATTATACAAAATATATGATACAAATTCCATATTATACAAATGTGCGAATTATACAAAACTAAAAAGTTGAGCCACGTAATTATAGCTAAAAGTAGATTGCAAATTATAATTAAAATAAGCTATGATTATATTAGATAATTAACTAGTATATGTTTTGATACGCTTATTTTCCCTTTTTAGAGAAAATTGTCTTATTAATATATGTTTATAGCTGTACAATTATTTTGATATTTTTAACATCACAAGTTTTATAAGATTTCATTCAAATTATCTTACTAACACGTGTTGTTTTTTTAAAAAAAATTTGGTTTAATAAAAAGGATGGATCATTAATGTTACTTGAAGTGAAAGTGCTTCAAATATAAGCTATTTTGTACGAGTGCTAGAAGTACAAATAAATTTTGCCTTTTTGATAAAATTTACTTGCAATTGTTTTAAAAGCAATATAATAGCTTGGAGTGAAATTGATTTGCTTTTGGGGCAATTCAACTTGTGTGGTTGACTCATGCTTTACGCTTTGTACGGATGATTGTACGTATTATTTCATCATGTATTATATAATTTTATAGAGTTTAAAACTTAAAGAGTACAAAATATTAACAAAAATTTTAAAACGGTATATAAAATTTTATATCAACCAAAACGGTAAAATCGCTGCAGGTGCAGCGACTTACCTCACCTGAAAAAACAAAATCATTGCTGAGACAGCGATTTTGCAAAAAAAAGGCAGCAATTTCAAAATTTTGCTTCTTACAAATCACTGCCTTGGCGATTTCATATTATATTTTTTTAAAAAAAATTAAGGTATATCGTTGCTAATGCAGCGATTTATAAAATAAAATTTTCTTTTTATTAAATCGCTGCAGAAAGCTATTTAAAAAAAAAATCAAAAATGTTAAAACAACG